TGAGCCTGGGGTGGGGAGTCTCAACTTCACCACACTGTGACTAGCAGTTTGTAAGAAGTAAAGCACTTCCATGTTACTGGTGCCTAACTGTAACTGTGTGCTRGTAACAACCCCATCTTCAGTCCAGGAAGYTAAGGGCAAGGAAGCCACAAACTCTGCCCAAGGCCACACGGCTTATGAAGGGCTGTGGGGAGTGCAGCTCAGGAGAGTGTCCTCAAATTAAGTCACCCTCCCCACCTCTCCGCCACACCTAGGACCAGGTCAGGACTCAGCTCCAGGGCATGACCTTCACCCAACCTCACCCCAGACAGACACAACCCAGGGCAGAGGTGTCCCTCCTACCTGAAGGCTCTGGAAGGTCTGGGCAGGGAATGGTCACGGTGTGTCTAAGGCAGTCATTAAGGCAGCTGTTGAAGAAGGGCTGGACCTGGGAGAGAAGAGGAAGAACTGTAAGAGGGCCTCTGAGAGGTGGCAACATACACCCATCCCCACGCTTTCTCAACAGCAGGGGCCATTTGCAAGTAATGGACCCTGGGTGGCCAGGCCAGATCTCCACGTGGCTGTTGAGCTGGGCGTGTTGGCGCTTGTGTGTAGCCCCAGCTACTCAGGAGTCTGAGGCAGGAGGATCATCTGAGCCCAGGACTTTGAGTCTAGCCTACGCAACGTTAAAACACCCCATCAAGAAGCCCAAGGATCTTTCCAGGGGCTGCTGAACCAGATCTCCTATCTGTGCAATGGGTCAAAGGTCCCCTGCCCAGGTGGGGTTGGRAGAACAGGGCAGCTGAAAGGCAGGCTGGTGACAGAGCGGTGCTGGGGCCCGATACAGCACAGGCCCACAGCTGCCCTTGCTTACCTCGCCCCCTGGCAGGAAGGCCCACCTGTGCACACTCTCCCACACCTGTGTGCATCACGCCACCCACCTGTACTCGGTGTCGACAGCACCAGTTAGAGCTGTGYAGCGGGAGAGTGAGGTTGGCTCGCTGGTGGAATTCCTCTTGTTTGGGCTGCAGAGAGGAGGACAAAAAAGGCCAGTTGGATAAGAACTTGCTGCATCACACCCCCAAGAAGCTTGGGGACATYACCCTCATGGACCAAGTGCACTTCTCAGAAAGGCCAGAGGGGGAAACGCTTTTCAGATTTCTGTTCCAGAAAAATTGACCATTCTGCAGGGCGAGTGGTTTGCTGTCAACTGATAAAGACAGTAGTGACTGGTATTTCCCCCCTGCGTGGCTGCTGGGGACTCTAGGACAGATCTGTGTTCACACCCAGCAGGGAGACAGACCACACAGCACATCTTTTTTGCACTAACCTGGCTTCATCTTACTTCTTGTCTGTAGGACCCCTTTGTCTTAATCCCCTTATTTCTTCTTTTTTAAAAATCTTCAATCCTTTTTGGAGTCAGGCTCAGTGGCTCATACCCAGCCACTGAGGTAGTCCCAGCAACACAGGAAGCAGGAGGACTTCAAGTTCAGGGCCAACCTCAACAACTTAGCAAGGACCTAAGCAACTTAGCAAGACCCTGTCTCAAAATTAAAAAGGGCTGGGGATGTGGCTCAGTGGTGAAATGCCTCTGGGTTTAATCCCCAGTGTGTGTGTACACACATATAAATCCTTTTTGGAATCAAGTAGAATAAAAACAGCAAAATACAGAATAAGGGGAGAATGGGGGAAGGAAGAACAAAAAGGACAGGGGGTGGTGGGCAGGGCAGAATTGACTCTATTTCATCAGCCAAAAGATGGAAAGAAAGACCAACTC